TGGCCTGACTCATTTGCCATACTAATATAAAAAAGACATCTTAACATAACCCAAACTCTTTACCTAACGGACTCAATGGTGACACATGTTTTCGAGCATTTCGCACCAATAAAGAGTTCAACCCCTTCCCACCAACAAATTATTCAAAACACAAAGTTCTTTCTATGTTCTAGTAAGAGTTTTACAGTACTTGCAACATAATGAGGTCATATGCAGAATAGCATGGACTACAGCAGACTGGAAACCAGGCATCCGTCGAATTGTTCCTGCGGTCCCGTTCTTTTTTCTTCTTTATCTTTGTTTAGATACCCATCGAACTACGGATCCCTCGAACTACCGAGGCCCGACGAATTCGAGCTATCTGTATTTAAGTGCCAAAGATTAGAAGTGTTATAAAAAAAAGTAATAGGCACACAACAGACGGAGGAGAGATAAGGACAATAGATGTTTGATAGGAAAGAAGGAGCAAACTACTCCAGAGCGCCCGCCAACCGCCCACAACTCGAACTTCAACATGAGATGGTCTCACCAACACAGCTCCTCTGTCCAGCACCGAAAGGCACCCAGGCAAATGGGTCAATGTCCTCATGGCCTGGGTGACCGTGGATCCAACGCTCGGGCTTGAACTCCAAAGGTTCTGAATACGCGTCAGGATTACGGCCTAGCGGGTACAGCGGAATCACAACCCCAGTCTGGAGAGAGCAAAGATGTCTTATTAGATATTTAGAGAGAGAGAGAGAGAGAGAGAGAGAGAGAGAGAGAGAGAGAGAGAGAGAGGGGGGGGGTATGTTTGTACAGGTGATTGATATTGCGTTCTCGTGCTCTTTTACTGTTTTTTTTTTCATTCAGTTTAATAATACCGTAACATAATTCTTGTAACAACAACAACAACAACAGCAACAGCAACAACAACAACAAAATGAGTTTTTAACAGCGAATAGGGTTGGCAGTCCTTATAATTCATAATGTAACGATAACGAGTTACTAATTTAATTTTATTACCTCCAAAGGAGTTATCACTGAAGTTCCTGCACTCTCTCTCTTTCTTTCTCTCTCTCTCTCTCTCTCTCTCTCTCTCTCTCTCTCTCTCTCTCTCTCTCTCTCTCTCTCTTTCTCTCTCTCTCTCTCTCTCTCTCTCTCTCTCTCTCTCTCTCTCTCTCTCTCTCTCCTGGCCTCTCCCTATCCCTCTCCTTTTCTCTGTCAGTTTGTCTCTGCCCCAGACCCCACCACACACTCTCCCCCTCTCTCTCTCTCTCTCTCTCTCTCTCTCTCACACACACACACACACACACACACACACACACACACACACACACACACACACACACACACACACACACACACACACACACACACACAATCTTCTGATAATAAGAGTCAGTGCAAGGTTCTTCTCTTAAAGGCAAAAGAGGTGACTTGTAACTTAACCAGCGGGATATAATGTAACTGTAACTATTATATTATCCAAATTTTTGTTGGAACGGCCCCAGTTGGCCTTGATAAACATGGTCGAAGCATTTCATCTCTTGAACAAATTACATTGTATTACTGGAGGGGGGGGGGGCGTAAAAGACCCATTTACAATGACTTATAACATCACAAAGACTCTTACTCCTTTGGGGAGGTGGTATCCGTTCAATGCTCTGTCTTCCTCCATCAGACGAGTTATGTAGAACCCTACAGGGTACAGCCTGTATGAGAACAAGGGGTAGAAGAGAGATCAAAAGGACTGACTGTGCCAATAGCACAACGGCCATGATGAAGATGATGGTGGAGGTTTAGGGGGGGGGGGGGGAGTTGCTGTCTCAGCTGTTCAATGTTCACGAGGAAGCATGTCTAACTAGATATCAAGTGTTTATCAAACCAACATTTTTTTTTACAGAATCAATAACAACGTGATTTCTGTTGATCAAGATGCTTATTGTTTTATCCCTAAACGAATGCTACAGCAACAACGATGATGATGATGATGATGATGATGATGATGATGATGATGATGATGATGATGATGATGATGATGATGATGATGATGATATGTGTGTATCTATCTATCTATCTATCTATCTATCTATCTATCTATCTATCTATCTATCTATCTATCTATCTATCTATCTATCTATCTATCTTATGGACGCTTGCATATACAGTATCTCCGTATTTCTGCTAGATATCTATGACATAATATCTTACGAAATTACTGTTTATTCAGTAGATCAATTGGCATGAGAACAGAACTTCATAAATAACCGTAACCGCGTATATGGGGGAGTAAAACGTTTTACAACGACAAAGCCAGCTGTTGATTTCACCTTAGACTCTCCTTCAGTACGCCCTTCAGGTAGATGAGCTTTTTCAACTGTTGATAGGTTACGTCACAGCCTTTCTCGGGAAGCTCTCGGCAAATTTCCTCGAATAGCCTCTCTTGGATGTCCGGGTGACGAGCAAGCTCGAATAAGATGGCTTTAGTTGTGTTGGAAGTCTGAGACGGAAAGTTAATGAGTTGTGAACACTGTGTCAAAGGATGCTATCGTATCTCGACACGAACTAAGAATGAAATAGATGCTATCTTACCACGACAAGGGTCAGAATGCCAACTGATTTTATCGTATCTCGACAGAAAATCACAGTGTCTGTGAATGTTATTGTACCTCGATTTTGACCTTCGTGTCTGTGAACAGTGACCGATATCGTATCTCGAAGTGAACCAACGGTGTAAATGGATGCACTATCTCGACAGTAACTCACCGCGTAAATAAATGTTATTGTACTTCAATTTTGACTCTCATTCCTGTGAATTCTGACTAATATCGCATCTCGACGCGAATCACGGTGTAAATAGATGCGTATCTTGACAGTAACTCACCGTGTAAATCGATGCCATCATGAGCTCCATGACGTTGGAGTAAATCTCGCGTGTTGTCTGAGTTCCCTGTGACGCCAACGACTGGATGAAGGACGCGCTAGAATTGGCGCATTGAAGCCTCTGGTCTATAAGGTGAGTGGCTGGAGACAGGAATTTGAGCTGTCACAAGTCACGAACGACCTACTGGCCTCTGTGGTGTAGTTGTTAATCATTTCGCCCTTGCATGCAGAGGCTCGCGTTTGATTCCCTAGAGGGAGAACGTAGATTTTTATCGAGCATCTCGGTTTTTCTGCCGGGATGTTATATCCCTCTCAGCTCAGGTTCGCACGGACAGGCAAGGTAGGAAGCTGGCCTCCAAAATAATCCAAATCGTGTCGATGGGGGCGTAAATACGCATTCATTTCAAACTTTTAAATTCTAAAACGAATGACCTCAACTTTCCCTGTTTGTATCACAACACGGTGGAATCAGGAGCTCGTCAATTTTTGGGCATATGGATTTATAGGTATTATCATAACGCTTGTTCATCTGTCTTGATTTCGATAAAAGAATTTCCAATCCTTCTTCAAAAGAAGTGAAAATATTTCGGATTGATAGAGGTGGAAGTCACCTGGTTTCAGAGCTACAACTAGCAAAAAAATAGCTGCCAAAGTTTGGCGACTTCAAAAGCTTGAGAGTCCTTGAAAACTGCAAATCTGCATTTTATGTGCATTTAATCAAACGTTTTTCAGTAAAATACATACCGAAATGTATTTTTAAATAGACGTTAAAGGTGTTAAGCCAAAAACAAAAATTCAATAAGAATGGTCAAACCAGCGGAAAAATGCTTCTTCAAATTCATGATTTTGACGAGCGCCTGATTTCACCACGCTGCCTCACATTATATTTATCTTCAGCAAGTTAAGTTTGTTTGCTTAAGTGTTTCTGTCATTGTTAGATTGACTTGATATATATAAGACTGACTTGGTATAAGACTAGCCCATTGAAAGATTCGGGTTGGAAGATTTAATTAACGTTACAATAAACAATGTTTTTTTAAACAAGCAGTCGGAATAAAAGTATAACTCCTAGCTGGAAAGTGTGTCGTTAAAATGGTTGTTGGAAGCACAATAATATTTTGTCCATGTCTTGATAGTAACTCAACAAGGGTAACGTATATTTTATGGCCAGGGTGCGAAAAGAAACAGAGGAAGGATAACTTTTACTTCAAGGGTTGACATTTAGTGACTATGTGTATGCTTTAACTTTTATTCTATGGCTCTTCAGTGCAACTATTATTCTGGAAGCATGACTTTTGTTATGCAGCGATGTAAAGTAACTTAAAAAAACGCCCCTCTTTGTTTTGTAACCATGTCACTTAGATGTGTGTTATGACATTTCTTAGACTGTTCGCTCCAGTTCAATTTCAGTTTAAGGGATGACACTCCATTTGATTCTAATAGGAACCAGATGAAGGACAATGAGGGGAAGGTTGCGCAAGCACTCGACTCTAGTGAGACTGGTGTTTTCTCATGCCCTTCATTCCTTTATTTGCGGGCCTATGGTACGCACCAGTGCAGCGAAGACGTTTTACACGTAGAAAAGAGCGGTGCCCATGAACATACCGGGTCTAGGATAAAATACAATAATGTGATAATTCAAGTATCATCACAAGAACTATAATAATATGAGAACGGTGCATCCTATTTTTATCCCGACTCTTCCTCTGGTACAAAGAGGTAAGGGTTTAACTACTCATTCATGACAAGATTTATTATTTCTACAACGCATAACTTCCGACTTTACGTCAATTTCAGACAGCGTTAAGTGCTTTGCAAAACATTCCAGAGGGAGAATATGATACCATAATAGTTAGCCAGTACGGGAGGATATGGGCTATCTAATCGGATTTTCTTTGGTGTGTGGGG